GTGTGAATCATTGCTGTATTCAAAATTATGGTGTGCATATTGTTGATTCAATTATTATGTTCATAAAACAGAGAACAAATACTTTGTTGGTTATTACACTATATACACATGTTATATATAAGTATCTGCATGTTTTGTTCACCATAACGAACCACTAAGTTGGTATTATGAGTCATACAGTCTCCGTGGTGTAGTGGTAAGACACTCGCCTGGCGTTCCGCGAGCGCTATGTCATGGGTTCGTATCCTGGCCGGGGAGGATTTACTGGGCGCAAATCCTTAACTGTAGCCTCTGTTTAACTCAACAGTAAAATGGGTACTTGGTTGTAAAACAATTCTTTGTGGGGGTCGTATTCCAGGAACCTGCCCGAAACGCTACGCGTACTAGTGGCTGTACAAGAATGTAACAACTCTTGTATATATATAAAAAAAAAAAAAAAGTTCAGTGAGGGTTACAGTGATCTGCAAGCAGTGTTAAGCTTGGGGTGTTGAGTGAGAGAAGGGGAATAGCAGGTGGGGTTATTACACCATCACTTTCAAGCAGTGTCCTTCCTACGTTGTTGCGCTCACTAAGGCTCTTCCCGTCATCACTCTGCCCTCCAGTCGTGCTTTGCCTCATCATGCCCCAGTTCCTTGTCACCCGCCACTGCCCCCTCCGCCACTGCCTTTGACTGTGCCTGACCCGTTTGTCTCTGATGTTCCTCTCGCCCCTGAGGCTTCTTCTCTCCCACCCGCCATTCAACTGTATCCCAATCTTGTTGACGCTATTGTCGCTTGTGTTGAGGATGCACTCGAGACGGTGCTGGTCTGCCTCGTCACTAAATTCTTTCTACAGTCCTTCCTTCCCATTCCTGAGGCTGACCCATCGCTCTTCTACAATTGACGTCCATCCTCCCGCAGCTGCCTCTGCTATCTCCAATGTGTTTGAATCGATGCTGGACAATGCCCTTTGGAACTCTTTGGCGAGCCTTTCCTGTGTCTCTTCCCAGGCTGCCTTGCCACACATCTCTGCCCCCGGTACTAAGTGGAAGCACTCCTCCGTCGTCCCGATTTCCAAGCACCCTGCTACCTTGCCTGATGGGCTTTTTACATCGCGTTCTCCCACGACTTGTATCGTGCCCTTCCTAGGTCTTCCTCCCGGTGTCCTGCTGGCGCTTCTACGGAGTCTGATGCATTAGCGTCCCAGTCGTGAGGCTCCGGATGCCATCTATGTACCTTTTCCTGTTCTAACCTCACCTGTCCAGTCTTGACTTCCTCTACCCTTCTACACATTTGCACTTGCCTCCTTCACATCCTTTGCCCCCCACCCTTCGTCTCTTGCCTCCGTCCCTTGCTTTCTTGACTGCGGCGACGCTTTGTGTTCACCTTCTGTTTTCTTTATTCCCATCCTACTTTCCTTTCCTCTTGTTTATTTTGCCTTTATCCTCGCTTGCCTTGATGGCATTGTTATCTTCTTGACTCGGGCACGTTGTGATCGTTGATGTGTTGTTGTGCATTGTCATATCCACATCTTTCCACGTTACCACTCGTGCAGTCATCGGGAGGATATACCTTCATGCAAACTGCACGTATTGCGAAGAAGAAGAGCTACAATCTGGTAGTATTTGGTTTATTGGCATTGGAAAAAATACTGCTTTGTTTGTTTCCATTGTCTCTTTCTATCTTTCATCAAGATATGTAGTTTATTTGCTTCGTCTGTATGGGCAGTTTTACCTGGTTATAAGGTTGATCGTTGATCCCATGCATCTCTCACCTCTATGAGCACACAAGATTCTGGTCTTAGTATTCAGTAAGCTGTCTGTGATACCAGTGCCAATGCACCTGGGAGCTACTATGGCTGCTAAGAAAAGGGCATAAGAATATTATAAAAGCATAATGGAAACTACAGAAGGCTTATTTGCTCATACAAGGCAGCTCCCATTTATATACTGTATAACCCATTGATATATATATCTAACCTATGCATGAAACAATCCATTATTTCCACATCTATTATGTTACTTATTAATTTGTTCCATAAATCAACTACCCTTGGTTGAAGATTACTCTAAGGCTGCTTTTCTTATTGTTAAGCCCCATTGCTATAGCTGAGGAAGCTATTAAGTTTTCCACTAGAAAAAGGCATTAATTACATTGAATGCTTGAATTTTCCTAGGAGGATAGTATTCAATGCTAGGTTTTCTAGGCAGTTCTCAATTGCCTAGATAATTTTTTAATTTAATTAATTTTTTAATAGATATTTTTTTATCTTTTCGAAGAACATTTTAGTATTTGCATTCAAGGGGTTCATATATGAGGATAATTACTAGGGTTTTGCTTTTTCTTTGATTCCTAGTACAGTATTTCCACTACATCATATAAGGATGTTAACAATTTTGTAAGGGTAAGCGACTCTTTAGCATTCATTCCGACACCTGCATGTGTCCCCATTTACTCTATCACATGTTTAGATATCTTAATTAAGTTGGAATGAAAACTTCCATATCAATGTAATTACATTACATGTTTCTCTGGAGTGCTCCAAAGACTGCATTTGCCTCTATAAGGAGGCAAATTATGAAAGGAACTTTGTTCTTATTTTTGTTTTCAGGTCTTGTATGTCGGCAAAAAAAAATGAAGTTACACTGTTTGCATTGTTTTGAATTGGAATTTTTTGGGGTAAGTCTGCTGCTGTCTTATCTCATTCCATGGTGCATGGAGGTGTTTGATGTGTACTGTCCAGTACTGGTAGTTGCTGTGGTGATGAATGTTGTTGTATTGGTGTTGTGGGGAGTAGTAGTTGTAACTTTGGAATGTGTGTGACTTTTTTTCAATACCAAGTATTCCTTCTGTTTATTGTTAATGATAACTCCTGCTTCTCTTCCTCTGGTTGTTGATAACTCCTGCTTCTCTTCCTCTGGTTGTTGATAACTCCTGCTTCTCTTCCTCTGGTTGTTGATAACTCCTGCTTCTCTTCCTCTGGTTGTTGATAACTCCTGCTTCTCTTCCTCTGGTTGTTGATAACTCCTGCTTCCTTGTTAAGGTGGTGATAACTCATGCTTCCTTGTTAAGGTGGTGATAACTTCTGCTTCTTCCTTAAGGTGATGGTAACTCCTGTTGCATTCTTAAGATGATGATAACTCTTGCTTTCTTCTTAGGGTGCTGATAACTACTATATTTCAATTACCCTTGTTTCCTTCACTTGAGGTCAATGACAAACTGTGCATGCTCCTCCTTCAGTTACTGACAACCACTACCTCCTACATTTATTTGTTGGTAATAATCTCTGCCTACTCTCTGGTTGTTAACCCCAGCCTCTTCTACCTCTGGTCATTGATAACCCTTGCCTCCTCTTCCTCTAGTCATTAACTTCTCCTGCATCCTCTGTCTGTGCTTATTGGCAAAATTTCTGCCACCCCACTCTGGTTATTGAATAACTTCTGCCTCCTCCAGTCATTGATACCCTGTACCTATCCAAGTCATTAATGTCCACTGCCTCCAGCAGTCAGTGATACTCAACTTCTATTACTCTGTTAATAACTTTACCTTTCCAATCATTGATAATCTTCTGCCACCTCCTCCAGTGATTTTTTATTACCCTGCCTCCTCCTCCTCTGGTTGTTAATATCTTTAATATCTTATTCCTCCTGCTCTTTTGGTTGTTGATAACTCGTGTCTCTTGCTCCTCTGTTTGGTGATAACCCGGCTTCCTGCTCCTCTGGTTGGTAATAACCCTGTCTCTTGTTCCTCTGGTTGTTGATAATCTCCCCTCCTCCTCCTCCTCTGGTTGGTAATAACCCTGCCTCTTGCTCCTCTGGTTGTTGATAATAATCTTCCCTCCTGCTCCTCTGGTTGGTGATAACCCGGCCTCCTGCTTCTCTGGTTGTTAATAACCCTGCCTCCTCCTCCTCTGGTTGTTGATACACCTGCCTCTTACTCCTCTGGTTGGTGATAACCCTTCCCCCTGCTCCTCTGCTTGTTGATAACCCTACCTCTTCTATTTTTTTATAACCCTAGCTCCTGCTTCTCTGGTTGTTTGTAACCCTGCCTTCTGTTCCACTATATTTTGATAACCCTACCTCCTGCTCCACTGGTTATTGATAACCCTACCTCCTGCTCCATTGGTTGTTGATAACCCTACCTCCTGCTCCATTGGTTGTTGATAACCCTACTTCCTGCTCCACTGGTTGTTGATAACCCTACCTCCTGCTCCACTGGTTGTTGATAACCCTACCTCCTGCTCCATTGGTTGTTGATAACCCTACCTCCTGCTCCATTGGTTGTTGATAACCCTACCTCCTGCTCCATTGGTTGTTGATAACCCTACCTCCTGCTCCACTGGTTGTTGATAACCCTACCTCCTGCTCCACTGGTTGTTGATAACCCTACCTCCTGCTCCACTGGTTGTTGATAACCCTACCTCCTGCTCCACTGGTTGTTGATAACCCTACCTCCTGCTCCACTGGTTGTTGATAACCCTACCTCCTGCTCCATTGGTTGTTGATAACCCTACTTCCTGCTCCATTGGTTGTTGATAACCCTACTTCCTGCTCCATTGGTTGTTGATAACCCTACCTCCTGCTCCACTGGTTGTTGATAACCCTACCTCCTGCTCCTGAGATTGACAATAACCCTGCCGCCTGCTCCTCTAGCCTATGAAAACCCCTAGCTGCCTTACCCTCTTCCTTTGATCGTTGATGAGAAAAGATGTTTGTTAAGCCAATTACTTTTTTACTTTACTAATTATTGTAAATTATTGTAATTTTTTAGATAGTTGAGGTAAAAAGAGTTCTCTTTCATCTATTGAAAGTGTCATAAAATTAAGGATGAAGACCCATATAAGAGCTTCTTCTTTTGTTACTCTATATATTTCTATTCTGCTTCATATCACACATATATAGTCTAACACTTCTGTTACTCATCATATACAGTATTACTCATCTCGCTTCTTTTTTAGCTGTACCCCCACTCTTTTTGCTGATCTCATTTGCCTCTTCTGAGTTTTGATTCTTCCTTTGGCAGAGTCAAGGCGAGAGGAGATGCTGGGGACATATAAGAAATTCCTTTTCACTCGTCACCCTCTGGACCGTCTTATCTCTGCATACAGGGATAAGCTAGAGAATTACGACACAGAGAGTAACTTTGACTTCCACAAATATGTTGGCCAAGAGGTGGAGAGGATGGTGAGAGGCAAGGTGAGAGGTTGAGAAGACACATTATTATAGACACATAAGATCCATTATATATATATAAAATGCTGAACTGTAATGTCAATCCTGACCTTAAAAGCTTCCTTGAAGGTTGTAACAGAACCTGTGAGCACCACATCAGAAACAAATACCTTTTTGATATTCCAAGAGTACGACTTAATCAAACTTGAAATGCTTTACAAATCAAGGGACCCAGAATGTGGAATGACCTTCCCAATCCTGTTAAAGACTGTACCTCTCCCAACCAGTTTAAGTTAAAAACTAAGCACTACCTAATTAACTCCCTGGAACCTACCTTACCCTTAAAATGTCAACCCATGTCTGCTATTTTTAAACAATGCTGTTTGTCAACCAAATTGTATTTTTTATAATTTTTCTGCCATGTTTCCCCTTTTTTATTTATATATGTTCTCAACACAAATTATACTTTAATCTCAATTAGTATTAAGTTTTAGTCTTTAGTGTTTTTCCTGCCCGAAACGCTTTGTGTCATAGTGGCTTTAGGCATTGGATCCCTTATCCACTGGAGCGCCCTACCAGTTACTCCTGCCTGTTTCTCTAGCTTATGCATCAACCTTTTATGGGGTACTGTGTCAAAGGCTTTCCGACAGTCCAAAAAAATGCAGTCCGCCCACCCTTCTCTTTCTTGTTTAATCTTTGTCACCTGATCGTAGAATTCTATCAATCCTGTAAGGCAAGATTTACCCTCCCTGAACCCATGTTGATGGGTTGTCACGAAGTCTCTTCTCTCCAGATGTGTTACTAGGTTTTTTCTCACAATCTTCTCCATCACCTTGCATGGTATACAAGTTAAGGACACTGGCCCTGTAGTTCAGTGCCTCTTGTCTGTCACCCTTTTTGTATATTGGTACTACATTAGCAGTCTTCCATATTTCTGGTAGGTCCCCCGTTTCCAGTGACCTACTATACACTATGGAGAGTGGTAGGCAAAGTGCTCCTGCACACTCTTTCAATACCCATGGCGAGATTCCATCCGGCCCAACAGCTGTGTGTGTGTGTGTGTGTATATTATATGTGTATTTATATATATATATTATATATATATATATATATATATATATATATATATATATATATATATATATATATATATATATATATATATATATATATATATATATATATATATATATATATATATATATATATATATATATATATATATATATATATATATATATACAGTGGCACCTCGACTTATGATTGCCACGACTTACGATAATTTCAAGTTACGGTGTGTAAATTTGATAGAAAAGTGCGTCTCGACTCACGATAGTGTCGTTGACTAACGATATTTGTTGGTACACGTTTGAGGTCAACCGAGCGCGTGGTTCCCGGTCACGTGGGCCAACCTGCCTCAGTTTACTAGAGCTGCCCGCTTAGTGACGATCACGCCTATTAGAAATTCCGTTTTTGTGGTGGTTTTTTGCTTTTTGAACATAAAACTGATTATTATATATCATGCCATGGGTCCCAAGAAAGTCAGTGGTAAGGTTCAACATACGAAAACACATGAAAGAATGACCATAGAGGAAAAACAAGAGATCATATGTAAACATGAAAATTATATTAGTGTTGTTGAACTAGCTAGGCAGCACAATAAATCTTCAGAAGAGGAGGAGGAGGCAGCGGCATTTGAGGATGTTTCTTCCTGATTAATTAAAAAAATGTGTGCAGTATGAGAAGGACTGCAAAGTTTTGCTGAAAAGAATCACCCCAGATAAAGCTGTAACAGCCTGTTGCATTGATCCTTTTAATGACAATCTGATGCCTCACTACAGACAAGTGTTGGAAAGAAGGGAAAAACAATCTTCAATGGAGCGATTTCTAGTGAGAAATCAAGCAGTGAGCCAGAAGCAGGTTCTAGTGGTATGCAAGCAAAACATGCCAGAGTGTGTACCCCAGAGAAGTCCTCGCTGCCTGATGTTATAATGGAAGGGGACTCCCCTTCCAAACAGTAACACCTTTCCTCCTTCCCCCTCCTCACCATCTTCCATATGCCATCAAGAGTCCTCCATAAAGGTAAGATAAACATATGTACTGTATTGTAGTTAGAGAAAAAAATTGTATTCAGTACAAAATGTATTTTTAAGTTAATATTTTTGAGGGTGTGGAACGGATTAATTCAATTCCCTTTATTTCTTATGGGAAAAATCATGTCGACTTAAGATATTTCGACTTATGATACATCTCTGGGAACGGATTACCATCATAAATCGAGGCATCACTGTATATACAGTATAATATAATAAATAAATAAATAAATAAATAAATAAATAAATAAAATATGACAAGTAATCTTACTAGTTGCCTCTAATTTATTTTACATTACTGTGCATAACTTCATTTTAATATTATTCAACCCTGCAGGTGAACTTTAATTAACATATGCACTCTATCAGATGACTTCTAATCATTATATATGCAACCCAGAAGATAACCTAATTAACATTATGTAATCTGGCAGGTGACAGGTCTGGGGCACAATGTGACCTTCCCGGAGTTCATTAGATGGGTGACGCCTCCCAATGGGACGTGGACAGTGGCACAGAAGAATGAACACTGGCGTCCCATGGTGGAACTGTGTGCCCCCTGTGCTGTCCAGGTGGGTAGTAGGGATGTGGGGAGGGATGGAAGGGGTAGTGGCAATTGGAAAAGGTGGTGGTGGGCGTTGATGATAATACTTACTGTAGGTGGTTAGTGCTGGTCAAACCTTACACACCTTGTCATCCATGCAGAAGGTATTCATTTGGTGCGGATGATGATGGGTGGGTGGGTGGATGTTCTAATAAATACTGTATGCTTGACTTAAAGCTCTCAGCTCTTGACCAAAATGAGTACCCAATAGGACCATCAGTTAACTTTCTGAAAATCTTTGACACTGTAAACCATAATAACCACGAGTCTTTGGGGATAAAATTTAAGAAGATGGTTATTATGATTAACAATGTCAAAAACTTTTTCAAAGGTCAATAAATAGACTTATCTGGTGTTAATTGTTTACATTTTACATGGTAATTGGTAATACCTCAGTGATGGGCACCAGTATGACTCTGTAAATGATGCTACTTATCCCACACTGCTAATTAATATTGGTGTTCCACAGGTTAGTTTTCCTGGTCCAATTCACTTTCTTAAATACATCAATGACCTGCCCAAATGCTATGCAACACCTTAACTCTTTGGTTGTGAATGTCGATGAATGTCAGTGAATTCATAACAACTACTTTACTGTTTTGATGCATCAAGTTACTTCCTTCAGAATTGGAATCTTGTTGTGTCTCGTACAGAGCCAACCCTGCATGTGAAATGAAACTGATGACAATTAGCAAATAGTCAAATAAGGTGCTTATATACTGTTCAGTTATTAATTAATTTAATTGGGGATAGGCCGTCTTAGTATATATGTACTTTACGCATATTTCAAAGTCCCCTAGGGTAGAACTACTGACCTTCTCCAGGATGCACTCCCACAACAGTTGACAAACTCCTGGGTACATATTTACAGCAAGGTGAACAGAGGCATTAGGTGAAAGGAAACATACCCACACATTTCTGTCCCACCCAGGATTCAAGCCTGGGATTCCAGATTGTGAGCTGAGAATAAACCAAATTCTATTCACCAAAACCCTCAGTTAGATGCTGGAGGGCAGTGGTTGGTAGTGGTTCTATATGCAATCCATCTTCATAATAAATCAATAATGTACACTAGTCATTCCCCCATTTATGAAACAAACTTTTGGTGACCAAACCACATATCAGATAAAGGAGAAATGACAATGTTTCAGTCCATCCTGGATCTTTATCATCTACAAATGAACTTTACTATTATTAAACAATATACAGGATGTTCTGTATGAGTATAGTGTTGTTTCATATACTGTATAATACTCTATATAATGTTCTATATGGGTGTACTCCTGTGTATCATGAAACACATTTTAACCAATTTCAGCACATTTCACAATTTAACAAGCATTTAATCTGTATGCTTATCAACATATGAACCTACACTGATCCACCTAATCTATTGATGCATATAGTCATTAGCTCATAGCATACAAATATGGAAGCACTAATTATGAGATATTTACCAAGATATCTCTGAAAACTATTCTATATGTATGGGGTAACATAAATGTTATGACCACAAAATGGAGGATTATTCTGGCATACACAACAATTAACATTATCTGTACTAACAGTACAGTACTGTATTTATATAAAAGGTAATCCCACTATTATTTCCTCCTGATAACCTGAGACTTGTCTTTGCAGTATGATGCTATAGGAAGGTATGAGAACCTACAGCAGGAGATGAATGCTACTCTTTACTGGCTGGGGGCTGAGGAGTTCTCAGAGAGATTTCCTCCACCAGACCGACCCTTCCATGCAGCTGAATTTCGCCAGGAGTACCTGAAACATCTCGCTTCTGGGGACAAGCTACGCTTCCTCAGGACATATCTCCTCGACTTTCTCCTCTTTGGATATGATATGCCTTAACATGATAGCCTTTTTTTTTGTCATAACTTGATCTCAGAGTTTCCTGTGCGTGGTCTAAAACTACAGTAGTCATCATCTTTTTTGTCAAGGGTAGTCGCTACAGTTCATCATCATTTTACTTCCAGTGATGCATTTTTATCCCACTGCAAAATTCTCCTTTCCTGCAGATACAAAGTTAACTCGATTCTTATACACGTGAACGTACACCCCCAATTTCAACTTCCCTGTTAAACTAAACAAGCTCGATCCCCCCCCCATATGAATAGATTTTGTGATAATACGGTATGACCACATACTTGTTCAAAGTTAGCAACTCGTGATATGACTGTTTCATGTCTTAATAAGTTCACATTATTACCTTTTGTTTTACCATGACCATGTCATTAATATGTCAGGTCATTATCATATTTTGGCCTTGACATAATGAGACTATCTACTTTGTTAATATGATCAAAGACTGTAAATTGGTGATATAACTAGTGATCATCTTTTCTCTTCCACCCGTAAACACTACATTGTCATATTAACTTTCTCAAGGAATACTGACGGCATTTTTCCCTCTAACTCAGGCTTTAACATTTTTGCCTCTCATGAAATGCAATAACTTTTTATACACTGCATGATATTTGAATTATGGAAGTAAATGAATGGAATACGTAACAGTTTGGCTTGTGTCTTGAAGTTCGGTTACGTGCAGAAGGTTGAGCGAATGTGAACCCAAACAAACATTGAAACATGAAGTAAAACATTTAGTCTTTAGGAGATGATAGAATGTACCTTAATCAAACTATGGTACATACATTTTAACCTTACTGTTGGAAAATGCAATAACCAGCTAAAATCGATTGTTAATATATTAATTTCAATTTTTTAATTAGATAATTAGTAATTCATAATTTTTGATCTGCAATATGGATATAATCGTGTCTTTTACTTTATTTTTGCTTTTCCCTGAGGTTACATTTCAAGCTCTTTCTGTGCAGTGTGCTCTCTACACAGTATAGTCAAAAACAAGCTGTCAGTATTCTTGGCTTCATTCTTTTGCATTGTAAAGTTATAAAAAAGAAAGATTTTAATAGAGGGATTTAAAGAGACTTCAGAATTTATTGCTATTCAGTCTTATAGTATTGGAGGACATGGAAAATATAGAAAATATTTAAATTGTATATTTATATGCTTGTTTATTCATATGTAGAAGAGAGAGATCACCATAAAATGACCCACTGGACTATATTATACAGGGGAGTTTGATGTAAAGCCAGAATGTTTCTTTAGACCTACTTCCCTCTCCCATGTCTGAGTCAGTGGTAGAATCAGAATGATGCATTATGCCCATTACCCTCTACAGTGTCAGTGGCCACCCTGGAACAATGTGTATGTATTCCTTCGGCTGGAATGATGATCAAGGCATGGTTACCATCGTAGTGATCATGGGAATCACAGGTCCATAACAATAAATGTTAAAGACTGACGATGTCTGAACTATCAACGTAGATGTAGGAGTATTAAAGACAGTATTTCAACATATTTAGCAGCTCAATTACTTTTAAAATGAAATGTACAACAACGCACAATATTTATTAATTAGCTTTATGAAATAGTATTTAGCTAGCCGTCAAAAATCCTAAATCACCTTCGTTGCAACACTGTTTATTAAGAGAAGTGCTTGACTTGAAACTCTTGACATTAATTGTGGTTGTCCGTCATCCTCAACAAGGTAGATAACAATTTGCCTTCCCTGTCTCTCTTAAGAGATAAAACATTAGTTTTTTTAATACTGTATATGAAAAATATTGAGAGAATGCCATTTATACTCTGATAAGTACTGTACCATACTTAGGCTACTTAATTACCAGAATGCAAATGGATTTTTTAAAATATGCCTCATATATTATAAAATTCATTATTTAATGTCTCTAGTGGAGATTGAAAAACAGCAAGGCAAATTGATCTCTGCCCTGTTTAGGATGAAAGTGAGGAGAGGTTTGGCTTACTCTATCTTATGCATCATGTATGTGAACTTACACAATGCCCCCCTTGGATATCTACAGCACTTTCACTGTAATAATAGATTGCTAATAATGAACAAAATATTATGAACTAATGCTTATTTTAGCAATTAAGCTTAATAATATGATGACTGGTTAAAATCAAGTTCCGGTTAGTGCTCCTTGACCCAACAGTTCCCTGCCCATTGCTACAGAGCATATTTTAAAGTCCTGACCTCAAAATAACAGTTGCACTAAATAACGAAGGTATGAATATTGGTCTCTAAATGTTGCAGAAATCTAGCACTGGTCATTCAGGCTCAGTGCCATGAACATTACCATAAAGAAACAATAAGGCTCCAATTTCAAAATGCCTCTCCTTTATGCACTTAATTTAGGTCATGTTATATCAGTACATCTCACACAATGTGCTCAACTTGTATAACTTGCACATTAAAATGACAAAGATTTATGGGCTATTCATGCCCGTGCCACCTCTTATGTGGCTTAATCTTCATCAATCAACACAAAGATGCACCTTCGTGGTCCAGTCCAGAAAACATTTAGTTGTCAAGTACCAAATTTTCTGATATGAGTATTTTAACCCTTGGGCAGTGGCTATAGAAAATTGGTCATTCTTGCCTATGCACAAAAAATTAAAAAATGTCAATAAAGTATTTTTCATTATAGAATTATTAATTTGTATGCAAAATGTAAGAAAAACATGGAAAAAGTGAATATTTAAATTTTTACTGGGTGGAAGTGCTCTGAATGATTGTGCAGTTCCTGTGGTCTGACGTCTCATCACATGATGCCCGACTTTGCTGACACTGAGGTATGCGAGACACAAGGCCCGTGTTCTCCTCGAATGTTGCACTGATTGTTTATCACTTGCTTTTCTTTATTCACAAAATTATAAAAGTTGAATAATTTGATAAATCACATAATGCTTGATAATGTTTCAACTGATGATTGGTTTACCTGGTATACTTCATTATAACTATATAGAGTAACAAAAAGCATATAAACATAATATACAGAGTGTTGGGCTCTGGGACATGACATATTACCTAATTGGCACTATATGGGCGAGCGTAATTGAAACAAAGGCATAAGCCACCAGTGTGCCACCCAAAGTTGACAGCAGATTGACAGTATGCCACCCACAGGTGACAATAGACTGCTAGTATGCCACCCACAGGTGACAACAGACTGCTAGTACTGTAGATGTAAAGCATGATAATGGTTCACTGGATGACTTAGTTTACCTGGTATACCTCATTACAACCACACAGAGTTGTGAAAACCATATGAACATCATTGGTTTACATATGCTGTAATTATGATGGAATTTTATACAATAACTGCATTCACCTAGAAACATTCAAATTCAAATGTTTATTTAGGTAAAGTACATACATACAAGGTGTGATACAAATATTGATGAATTTATAGATAGAGCTAGTACACACAATGCTTAAAGCCACTATTACGCAAAGTGTTTCAGGCAGGAAAAACACTAAAGACTAAAACTTAATACTAATTGAGATTAAAGTATAAAATGTGTTGAGAAAATATAAAAATAAAAAATTGGGGAGAACATGGCAGAAAAACAGCAAAAATACAATTTGGTCGACAAACAGCATTGTTTAAAAAAATAATAGACATGGGTTGACATTATAGGGGAAAGGTAGGTTACAGGGAGTTAATTAGGTAGTGCTTAGTTTTTATCTTAAACTGGTTGAGAGAGGTACAGCCTTTAACATGATTGGGAAGGTCATTCCACATTCTGGGTCCTTTGATTTGTAGAGCATTTCTAGTTTGATTAAGTCGTACTCTTGGAAAATCAAAAAGGGGTGATACTTTCATGACGATAACCACATTCACATTGTAATGCAACCATCCAACCAATGTGGCATCCTAACACTGAGTGACACTCAATGTCACTCAATGACATTGAGTGTCATTGTCGCAGAGTTCTTGGTGCTTATTGGGGACCACAAGCCAGAACCTGCCCCCCTCAGAGAGGCGCAGGGAACAATGGCCCATGAACACCTTACATTTAAAGTTTTATCATCTTGCCAGCAACCAGGGAATGCACCAAGAAAGGTAGGCGAATCAAAACAAACCACTGCATGGCTTAACAAAAGACCTTAGCCAACTAAATGTCCAAAGGAACTCAACCAAACATAAAACAAACAACCAAAACTTCATCAAACCAGCCCCCCACTAGTTAACTCCACCTCCACCCTTGCTGGGGGAAAGGCAGGTGCTGGCCCAGCCCTATACTGATCTGTTCTAGAATGATGCAAAACTGCTGACTGGAGAATGGGAAGGTGTCAGGGAGCCTTTCGGAACTCACTCGGAAACTAGCATTTCATTACAATCAATGCTGGTTTTCTGTGGGGAGCTCCGTTGACTCCCTAAACCTACTTACCCACAGAACAAGGAAAACAGGGATGTACCAGGGAGGTGATAGCACCACAGGTATCAACTCGAAGGTGAGACCAACACGAAAGACACCCCAGGCAACACAAGGCCATTGAGCAAGCAGGGATGGTGACAATACTAAGTTGCCAAGACCCAGGTTACCCAACAAAACCCTTGAGCCCAAAATCGCCCAAGATATGATTGAAAATAGTCGGCAGATCAGCATACACATGAAAATCATTAGCACGAGGGTAGTCTGCAGGCTGGCTAGACCAAACGACACTAGGGATGACATGCTTACACACGAACCGTGGAACAGGAACCCAGGAAACTGGAATAACCCACAAAGCGCCCACAGAAGCAGAACTGGTGGCACAAAGGTAGTGGCGGAAAACCACCAGACAAAGCATGCTAGGAAACCCCAGCTGAACCAAGCAAGCATCCACAACCAAAGGACCAATGCATCAAATAAATTTGATGCATTTTGCTGAAACAAAAACTGGTTGCTTCAGTTCATATTTTTATATATATATATATATATATATATATATATATATATATATATATATATATATATATATATATATATATTATATATATATATATATATATATATATATATACATATATATATATATATATATATATATATATATATATATATATATATATATATATTATATATATATATATTATATATATATATATATATATTATATATATATATTATATATATATATATATATATATATATATATATATATATATATTATATATATATATATATATATATATATATATATATATATATATATATATATATATATATATATATATATATATATATATATATATATATTATATATATATATATATATATATATATATATATATATATATATATATATATATATATATATATATATATATACATATATATATATATATATATATATATATATATATATATATATATATATATATATATATATATATATATATATATATATATATATATATATATATATATATATATATATATATATATATATATATATATATATATATATATATATTATATATATATATATATATATATATATATATATATATATATATATATATATATATATATATATATATATATATATATATATATATATATATATATATATATATATATATATATATATATATATATATATATATATATATATATATATATATATATATATATATATATACATACATACATACATACATACAGTAATTGTAATTTATGCACCTGCATATACGTATGCATATTTTGTTTGCTTTTATAAATACAAAAGTAGTTTTGTCACGGTATTTGATCAGTGTAATACTTGTACAGTATAATTCATTGTATGACGATACATGTAATACAATTTCTTTAACATTATTCCTAAATATGATCTTGTAAGATCTTGTAAGCCATTTCGAACATCTTGTAAGCCATGAAGACACACATCAGAGTTAGTGGCTGTAGTGTCTCTTATAATGGACAACAGAGACCTAGCTACCATTTCCTTCTGTATCTTTACAGTGGTAACATTCAAGAGAGAATTTGATTCAAGGGAATTTACAAAGACTTTATACATTATAAGGCTGATTGTCCTTTGGAATCCTTTTGAATCCAATTTAATATTGTTATTTTGGCTGATTTAATTCACAGATTTTCTCAGGCTTGGAAGTACCACAGCGCATGCGCATGACCAAAATACAGGCCCTGTTTTTTCTTCATACTTTGTAAGCATTGAGGTAGATTATTTAGCAAGATGTGAAACTTGTAGCATCTCATTTTCAGAGATAGGTGATAATAAAGTGCCTTTTGTATGTATATATGAGTTTTATTATTATCCCTTGTTATGTGGTTGTATTATTGGTTATAGCAATTGAATACATTTTCGTTTAAAATCACATTGTGTGTGCCTGTCTTAAATTTTAGAGGTACACTAATAACAGCAAAGCTCTTGTTCTACATCAGCTTATCAAAAGCATGACCCTAAACTGTACTTAATGAATTACTGTACTATTATTTTTCATTATAAATAAATGTTATACAGTATAATGTTACAATCCTATTAAGTACAGCATAGAGCTGGTCATTTGACTTAATTTCACAAGACGGGACTCCACAAGATAAGCTCTCATCTTGTAATTACACCTAGGTAATTACACACATTGGTAATTAATTGTCTCCTGAAGCCCACATCAAAAGAATAACATCAATGGCATATGTGAAGCTGGCTAACATCAAGACTGCCTTCAGAAACCTCTGTAAGGAATCCTTCAGAACCTTGTATACCACATATGTAAGAGCAATCCTGGAGTATGCGGTCCCAGCATGGAGCCCGAACCATGTACACAAGATGGCACACAAGTCACACTTGCACAAGATGAAGCTGGAAAAAGTTCACAGGTATGCCACTAGACTAGTCCCAGAACTAGGAGGCATGAGTTATGAGGAAAGGCTGCGTGAAATGCACCTCACTTTGCTGGAAGACAGGAGAGCTCAGGGAGACATGATCACTACCTACAAAATTCTCAGAGGAATTGAAAGGGTAGATAAAGATGAACTGTTTAACATGGGTTGTATGCGAAAAAGAGCATTTCCTGCTCCTGCGACCCAGAGATCATGTGTAGAAACTGGTTATCTGCCGGCACTAGACCGTCACCATCGATATTGTCTTTGATTCTGTGTGTGTTGGGTATGATAGGGTCGCTTCCAGCTAGAGTAATACAGCTTCGGGCCGGGTGTAGTAAGACCGTACTGAGCAAACGTTGCAGAACTCGTGGACTGTTGACATATGTCCCCCAACCTGACATCCAAAAATGGTATTACTTTTCGCAACTGTGGATGGTTCGATGGAGGGGGTACAAAATGAACTGTTTACAGAAAATTTGTTTTGTACTATTCGGTATGTAGAGATCATTAGCTCTCTAGATACATTAGAAAGCAACAATCAAACCTAAATTTTCCTAGACCTAGTGAAGTAGATTTAAGTACTAAATTAGGTCTAAGATAGCATTATATATTAGGCTTAGGGTCATCTTAAGCACACGTCAGGCAGGTGAAGCTGCCCCCAATAGGGTTATTGCCTGGTCAAATAAGTACAGGTATCTAGACCACCAATACAGTTTTATTCCTGTAGGAACTGAGACCTTGGATTCCTGGGGGGAAAATGTGTAGATCTTCCTCAAAGATTTGGGTTCCAGCCTCACCAAACCATCAAAAGACCCAAAGGCAGCCTGATGCCTTTGGGTCTTTTGATGGGCCTCTGATATTTTTGCCTTTGGGCCTTTGTTGCCTTTGGGCCTCTGATATTTTTTATCAGAGCATTTGTGCGGTAATTCACTAGAGAAAAGGCCTGCTGTATTTTTGGTTCCAGTCCGACATCCCAAGATACCGAAGAATTCTACAGTTTGAAGAACAACGTACCATACCCATGATGTAAATAAATGCTCAACAATCGAAGGCTCTTGGCGGGATATGAACCCCAACTCATGACCAGTCACTCAAAGTATGCAACAATGTTCTATCTCTGGATCCCTACACTGAAGCGCTGATACATGAAGCTAACATATCCTGTATCTTATGACTCACAAGTTCAACTCCTTTAGAAAGTCTTTGGCTATCTTGCCCCGGGGGTTCCCGGGGTCCACTGGTGTTCTATCCTTTTGAGACAAAAGTGGTACTGGTTGTCCGGTCCCCAAATGTAGTTCAATATGTAGCGAGTAAACTTATACTCGCTCCATTATCTCATCATCTTAATGGCATAACTAATTAGCACTAACTACACAAGCTATAATCCTATCCCTATTTACAGGTCACGGTTTTTCCAACCTCTTATCTTATTGTGAGTAGTCACCGTATATAAGCAAGCGATTTGAGAATTGCAAACCGACGGGAGACATCTCCCGTCACGCAGGGTGCAGTCGCACCTCCACAGATCTCCAGTATCAGCTCTTGATACTGGTAATGGCTCAAAAGGGCCACCACTTACGGGCTATTCATGCCCGTGCCACCTTTTGGGTGGCTTAA